TCCTCCAGTAAAGCCAATCAACAGGTGGTCAAGAGGAATGCGCCGTCGTCTTCTGGTGGAACCGACCTTTGAATATCTTCACCCAACACTTTCACTCTAATTGGAAGCTCAACAATTAGGAAACAAGAGATTTCTCGAAACCCAACTTTTCTTCGCAAATAATTTTGTTGCCCAGTGGTCCAGAAGCGAGGTTTCCCAGTCGGGTTCAATGCTTTACTGTACATCTCGAATTTCTTGGCATAACTCTCATCTCGCTTGAAGAAGCGTATGGAAGAGATTCGTAAATTGGACTCACCGAACGACGGAGGAGGATCGTCATGGAACTATGACTGTTTATTTATGCGAATAAGCCCTCGAAGCACCACATCGCGACCTTTATGAATCACTTCTGTTGCATCTTTAAACCAAATGAAAGTTACGCCAACATCAGTCCCTCCAGAGTTTATTCGAAACGACCACGGTAAAATATTGCGGAATGCATCTGGTTGGTGATCCGATTGTGGAGGAGGACATGACAACATGACTAAGTCACAGTAGTGGAGAGACGGATGCAAAAAGGGTCTAAAGCTCTATACGATTAGTGTGCTATTCCAATTATTTGTCCGATTTCATAATCGTCTATTTCAGCACGTTAACAACACTGGATTGACAACTTTATGCCACTAACTGGGTTAAAAAGGCAAGAAAAGGTTATAACAGATCATATTTCACATGCATTCAATTAGCCTATGGTTACGAAATAGTAATAAAAAGCTCACCTCGACAAATTCCTTGTTACGGTGGCTGTGAGGGCTGTGTGATTTGTGACCGATGCTACTGGGAATCCAGGACAACTGGGAAGGAGTGGTCAATCGTATATCTGGCAGAATTTTGCAGAATTTTGCTGGATTTGGATAGATTTTCACTAAATGGCAATTGGCAGATACGTCCCAGAGATATGGCGCGCGAGAGTGAGAGAGAGATGTGAAGTGGGTGAGAGAGAGGGGTGGAGAAAGGAGGGCACATGCAAGTAGACAAGACGGAAAGTCGAGGCAAAAGAGTGTTCCTTTTTGACCAGGACCAATCAACTTCAAGTCTGCGAGCTGCGTATCCCATGGGCGCTCTCTGTCTGTTTTTGTCTGAACGAATCGCATGCCAAGCTTCGGAGGGCTGTAGCGGTCTGACGACGGCGGATCCACCACACCCACTTTAGCAAAGAGCTGTGCATGTGCGAGTTGGCCGTTCCAGTGAGGCAAGGTATGATTTTGATATCGTTTTGACTGTGCGTTTAAAGACTTCCTGTACTACTTGAGTGTGCATTTGTGCTCGTCTTTTGTACCGTATTTTCCGGCGTATAAGACGACTTTTCACACCATACATTTCTGCTCCTAAGTGGGGGAAGGGGTCGTCTTATACGCCGAGTGTAGTTTAGGGATCGCTAACTATACTATGGTTCCGAGCTCCTGTTGAGCCCCTTGCCTCCTACTGCACACAAGCCGTTTAAAGATCGCATTCGAGAACAGTCTTATACGCTGGAAAATAGGGTATTTAATTTTTGCATAAATTACAAATAGGCATCTACCGATAGCGTAGCATTTGCTCTACCGGCTGAAATGCAACGAATGCGACACTATCCTGCCGAAGAAGCAATTGGGTTCTGGTTTGATGGGCAGCCGCTTTTGTGCACCCCAAGACCAACAGGTGCCGATGCGAACCTGGAGTTGATGCTGAAAGCCCTTGGGTTCGAGGACTTTTTCACACAACCCACATTTTCGAACAAACTCAACGGCTCAGCTTCTCTTCATATTCATTGCATTAACTCCTTTTGAAAGATGGTCCACCAGCATGAATCTTCCTCGCAGTTTACGCCAAAGACTGTAGATATTGATGAGACCTACGCGAGGTAAGAGCTGCAGTCCTTTGGTGTCTGGATGAGAACCACTTTTGGGGAATATATGCGAAGAAAAGTTGGGTTTCGAGGAATCTCTTGTTTCACAAG